TGATCCGAATAATGTACAAAAACATAAACAAAATTGATCCTAATTTCATTGGTTGATCAATGGAGTTATATTCAACTCAAATAAGTGTGATAGAATTTTCTATAAACATTCTTTAACATTACTTACTTACTTACTTACGCCTGTTACTCCTCGTGAAGGAGCATAGGCTGCACACCAGCATTCTTCATCCAACCCTCTAACTCCCAAGGCAGAGTTTAAATGGTTTGAATAACGTTTTTGTAGTTAGCGTTTTTTTAGCGAGTTAGTTTTCTACGGGATGGGGACGCTAACCCCATGCCAAACCCTCCTCCTTTACGTGGGCTTGGGACCGGCAGTAACTCTAGAAGAGCTACAGGCGGAATTATTCTTCAACATGTGTAATTTTAAAGTTCATAGTTTATATTTTATGAATCAAACATCAAAAAATAATAATAAATATAATAAAAGTAGATTAAAAACTGAGATTGAATCTTATGAACACAGTAAATAGATGAATGTTTTCTTTTGAAAAGAGCAAGAACAAAGATTTTAGCTGCTAGAATCTTTGTTCTTGTTCTTTGTAAAATGATAAAGGGAACTATGTGTATGAAATGTTTTCTTGTTAATGTTATGGCTAGATAACTAAGAAAGAATGACAAACATCAGTACTTTTCAGTTTTAGTAACTTATTTTGAACGTTTAGTTTGGATGGTTTCTTCATCCATCTAGCTATAAGCCTTTATTCAACTCATTAATTATTGGTAGATTAATTATAAGCCTATTATTCGGATACTGTGCCTTAAACGCCGTGGTTTGGAAAACACTGTATGTTCATAATTGTGGTGCTCTGAAGTCCAGTTATTTATATACATCTAATCACATATGTAGAGGTCTTGTAGTGTCGGTTATTATGTTAAGCTTATATACCATATTCTAGCTTTCGGAAAGGTCAGTCTATTCATTCTACTTGAGTCACATTTTGACCTTGTTAATTATTCGCTTATCAACCATGACTGCTTTTATATGAGCGTATATATGCGTATACTTCTAATCCTATCCAACAAATGTCTGTAGCTTATTTTTATGTGACTATAAATATTGATTAACACTTGGTTAAACAGAGTTGGCTCACACGCCTTCGCCATTACGCGTCATTTCACTTCGCTCTCTTCTCTTTGCTTCTCCTATATTTTGTCTGGATCAAAAATATGAGTATTACAACTTCATTCTCGTATTTGACTTATTTAATTCCGTTATCGACTAACACGATTTAAGTCCATGATTATATACGAGGATTGACAATATGTACATCTCAATAGCAATCAGAAACGATCTCATTGGAGTCAGATCCCGGGCCACTAAAGTCTATAAGTGTTAGAAATACTATCTTCCGGTCTTCTTATCTGATCTTGGAAAGGAAGTTCTACATAATCAATTAGCATCTGAATAGTATGTTATTTTGTCGATCTATCAACAAAAGTATTCTCAAGAACAAATCAACCGTAGCCTAATTCATTCATAACAGTCACAAGGTTATATTAAGTAACTTATTATATTCATGACATCAAAAAGATGCTATCAAGTCTCTAGCATATCTAAGAAAAAATCTAATGAGTGTATGGATAAGAAAGTATTCTACTAATAACGTCTGAAATATACTGTTTCAGCCTCGTCTGCCGTTCCTCAGGAATGTAAACGCATAACTCAACCTGCTATTGAACCAAGTGACTTAAATTAACGTAAAGAACACATCCATTTGTTTCGGAATATTTGAATTGGTGTGAATTCATCTATGGTGGGTTTTTTTTTAAGATAAGCTGAGTTTAGTTGAGATCATTTGTAAGATGATTTCCGAAATTATAAATAAATTGACCAACTGTCTTTTATCTCTGATAAAGAAAGCTTGACCTTGAAAACGTATATTTCAGAAGTTTCAGCTCTTCTCACGTAAGGCTACTTACTAATCTTGTGATTTAATATCGATTCTTGGAAGATGAAGCGATTTAAGTATGTACGTCGTCGATTTCTCTATTTTTAACGAGTCATGTTATTCGATACGAATAAATTAGTATCACTGTTCAAAAATTCGTGTTTTTCAACCATTTACTGATAATCTCCAAGAGTTTTTCACACTCTGAGGTTATATTTAAAGAATCTCTCTCTTTCTCATGTTAATATACTACATTTTTCTCTTATTTTAATGCCTTACTAAGATTGTTCAAATATTATTTACTAGTTTTAAGTTTTGCTTGGAGTATATCACTTGAATGGAGTTCTCACTTTTTAGCAGAATGGTCCTGTTGATTTGGCTGGAACAGAAACTTTTTAAATTTCAATATAAACCACTCTAAATTACTTTATCTGAAATATCCACAACGCCTGTTCAACATTTCTTAAGTTTCTTGTTTACATTTGGACAATCCAATTATAGACGAAGTTACGTGGGATGTAAATTTTAGTTTTTATTGGAGATATCTTATATATTTCACAAGTAAATTCCTCACAAATTTGTCATAGGTTATTATAATTTAAGGAGGATCAGATGCAGACGTAAAGGTGGGGATTGTCAAAGCAAGGGCCGCATTCCTACAATTGAAGAACATATAGAACTAAAAACAACTCTAAACCAACATCAAAGTCACAATCTTCAATACGAACGTCAAGGAAGTTCTACTGTACCGAGCTGAAACTTGGAGAACTACTACAACCATCATCAAGAAGGTACAAGTATTTTGAATGGTTGTCCACTCAGGCTACTCAACATCCATTGGCCTGATACCATCAGTAACAGCCTTCTGTGAGAGAGAACAAACCAGCTTCCAGCTGAAGAGGGGATTAGGAAAAGTCGATGAAAATGGATAGGACATGCATTACGCAAATCACCAAACCGCATCACGAGAAAAGTGCTAACTTGGAATCCTGATGGGAAGCGGAAAAGAGGAAGGCCAAAGAACACATTACGTCGGGAAATATGTTATATCTAGAAGGTTGTTCTTGATATACCGCGTATAACGTGAGCAAGAGAACGCCAGAACCCTTCCAAGTCGCAATGAGAAGACAGAAGACTAATGAAAGAAATATCAGTCCCAGACAGTGTCAATTATAGTAGAAAATTGTCAGGTATTTATAGTTTTTAGTAAGAACGGAATCATCATTACGGTCCTCCAATCCGCATACAGGGGGTTATTAGCATTGTCCAATCGGGAAGCTACACTTAGGAATTCTAGAATATTCTTACAAAAGGTAATTGGATGGAATAGCTTCGGCTCCTTCTGAGCCTCCTACAGCTTCCTCGAGTTCACCCGTGGTCCGTCGTCCCAAAATAGAAGCATATATGAAAGGGATGAATAACAATTGGAAAGAGCTGGAAACGATCGCCCACGACAGGGTTGTATGGTGAGTACTGGTGGGTGGCATATGCTCCTCCACGAGGAGTAACAGGCGTAAGTAAGTAAGTATTATAATTTAATTATATTAAAAAAAGATATTCTAACCACACTGTTAAAGAATAGTAACCTAGTCTTAATGGAAAAGAATAGGGTTAAGTCAAATCACGATCTTTAAGTGTTTATTTTATAAATCCAACGACTTTGAGATTTTTTTAAATGTAAAAATCAAACTACTTGTTTTGTAAAAGTAGCTTGCTTTGATTAAAAAAAGAGGAATACAGAATTACTCTATTTGTTCTTCTATTGGAAACATTGGAAATTATTAAATCCCGAAATATAACGAGCATTCCTATTCCAAAGTTTTAGTAAAATGTTAGCGTCTGTCAAAAGGCTGATCACGCTGCACTCAAAGGATACTAAAATTGAGCAGATACCGGAGTCTTTTGTGGGAGATAAACTAAATGCTAATCAAAGGTTGACCAATGTTGTACTGTTTAGTTCACTAAACTTACCAAGTTCCGTTATCACATCACTGTTTGGCTAAATTTTGAAATCTTTGTATTATTTTATTTGATACATCATATAGTTAATGATAAACAGTGGTCTGAGTCACATCAATTTATTTCTATAACTTTTGTTAACCATTTTTTAAATAGTGAATTGTCTTTGCCAACAGTCTACGTTGAAATCTTGACTGTTTGCTTCTTCTTCTGCAGTTAATAATGCTTCTCAAAATCATCGTTCGCTTTCTTTGTACAAGCTACTGTTTTAAAACGTTGTCTTTCCTAAAAATGATTTGCCTGATTTTGCAACATAATGATTAATTATTTATGTTAATCGATGATATACTATTGATAATTGTTGTTCAGTTTACTTCACATTAATTTGTAATCTTCCAAAAGAAAAAAAACTTGTAACAATAAGGATAAACTGAAGAATTTCACTATGATTTACTTATAAGAAATTTGTTGATATCAGCACCGAATTTTAACAAACTTTGAGTGATCTATTTCTATCCAGTATAGATAAGTCGGAATAAAATTCATTTAAATTTATTGCTCACTGAACCCAAAGCTTTGGCATTTGAAACTTACCTTTTAAACTAGTACGTATTAGTTGGAAAAGTTTTCTTTAGAACTCAAGCTAATGAATAGAATTCAAGATTTTAATTGACAAATTTTAACCATTTATACATATTTAACGGATTTAGTTCTACGTGTAAGATGCACTTGTCCCTCATTTTAATAATAATAATAATAATAATAATAATAATAATAAATGTTGAGTACTGGAATAGTTGGAATAAAGGGCTCGAATTCGCTGTGTACAATTTTATGACTTGCATTAGTCACCAAAAACGGATTACAATGATTAAATATTTCTTACTGTCGATCATTGTTGTTGGTACATAGATCTTTTTTAAAGATTCATGGACCTTGCCATCTGTTTCATTACTGCGGTATGAGTGAGGCAAGTGATAATATACAGAGCAGAAGTCACATCATAGGTGTATCTGTTTTTTCACTTTCGTATTGAACATCAGTATTCATTCAACACCATTGGCCTTGTAATTCATAAGATGTTATTATACAAAAATAATAAAATATAATCCATAATGTCAGGATTCATTTTATGTGCTTCAAACTTTCAACATACATGATGGTACCGTATATAAAATGTCTTATGAATATGTTTCATTATGCCACTACTACTACTACTACTACTACTACTACTACTACTACTACTACTACTACTACTACTACTACTACTACTAATACTACTACTACTACTACTACTACTACTACTACTACTACTACTACTACTACTACTAATACTACTACTACTAAACATTAGTAGGAAGTGAAAGGTCTGAGTGCAGAAGGTCTAGAAGGTTGAAATGAAGAAAGAAGAGAAGGAAGCTGAAAGCAATCAGGATAACAACAGGAATGAACGAATAATATAGCTAGTAAGAGACAATTCAAAGAAGATATGCAAATGATGCATCTGATGTATGATTTTCATGTGTGATTGTTTAGTGTGTTAACAATTTATCAGTTTGTATGAATGTAACCGAATGTCAGGATGAATCGTGAAGCAAATGTAAACGAAGATATTATTGTTAGTTTTATACCATAATTTATGTAATAGAATTTCCTAACTCATTTAGTCAGACGGAATCATCTTTATTGGTTGAAAAGAAATTACACAAAAGATTGAACCACATATATATTTTTTCAAACCGAATTGTTAGACTATATATATATGCTCACCATAAAACATCTGAAGTCTTTACAAAGAAAGTTGTCTAGTTTTAATTGACTCGTGATCTCAACTATTGAAATTACTACGATCTCCACAAAACCTCTTCTGATACTAATCAATTTATGCTCACTAGTGAGTTCTAGTGAGAAGCAGTGACCAGTGGAGTTCAACCGGGTCTGTCGTGAGATTGTGACTCACTGGTGATAATGGTGGATGTGTCACTCAATCTCGTGGATTGGTTCAAGTTATACATCAAACACCGTTGGATGCTGACCGGCTCACTGGTCTAGTGGTTAAGAGCTCGTGTGCGAGACTGATAGGTCCTGGGTACGAATCTCTCAAGGAGGAATCGTGGATGCGCACTGCTGAGGAGTCCCACAATAGGATGGAACGGTCGTCCAGTGCCTCCAGGTTTCTCATGGTGGTCTAGCTTCAATTGGTTCATGATCTCAATTATTGAAATAAACTAATGAAACGTGAAAATTCTGATAACCTTGTAATTTGGTTTCATTCTATTTTCTAATAAACTTCTATCTTTAAATATTATTTTATAGATTCAGTAAATAATGTTATTTAAAAGTACATGTTCTTGATTAAACAGATTTTAATTTTCGGCCAGTTATGCAATAGGTTGTGTAAATAGTTTAATTACTGACTACAATATAGAATATGCATGGAATTCACTGCAGTACTATCCGGTCAAACCTATTCCAGATTAAATTATTAATCGCAAAATTGCCGCATAAGTAATTTATCAACCAAGAGTATTCTGAAACGTAAGTACTACTTTTTCTTATATACAACCTTTAAGTAGATGTTTGGGTGTCGCGCAAATCAAGTGACTGTCCTAAATCAATTGAAATACTGGGATTAAGGCTCCTAAAATATGTTCTATAAATAAGCACGATGATGGTTCCAGGATACTGTTACGTAAGACAACAAAGTTTTAAAATCGGTATCGGAAGTAAGAATAAAAACAGATGTCAAACCATTAAATGTAAACTATGGTTTCTTAAAACAAAGAAACAAGGTTCCCAATGTTGTTCCTTGTTGCCAACAGGGTAGTTAGAGTTCAGTCACGGACATATAAACACAAAAGTCAGGTTTTTATATTAGCACTATTATAGTTTCTAATAATTTTGATACAGTCGAATATCTACTGCTTATGTTCTATATACGTTTTGCCATATTACGTAATAGATTTATTTGTAAATAGCGCAACTTGAAAAATTGAACAAGTGGCTACAATTAAAGTAATGACTATTTAATCATTTTGTTGAAACGGTTGAATTTCAGTATTTCATACACTTACATCAATATAACACAAAGAAAAAAAAACCAAACCGTTAAGACAGGATACACCACAGTATTAAATGAAAAATATACGTTTAATTTGTAAGCAAACTTTAGTTAGTTTAATTGTATTCAACAAAACTCCAGATCAAAGTACTATAATTGTGTTGTATGAGACTAAATTATAACATGAATTTATTACTACTTTTTGTTTATCAGTAGTAAAAAGTATAAAACTAAATGTATGAATGAATATTCCACGAGAAATGTAGTTGATCAAAAAGATTAAATATCATATTTATTATGTATATTATTTTGCATATATGTTTCATTTAATTACTTTTTATCTGTGTTATCCGAATCAGTGGCCGTATATTCAAGATAAAGGTGTAATGTATATGTTTATATTCAGTCATAGGTAAATCAATTAGTTGGTAACGCAATTGCAGGAAAATAAAAATTATTTGATAAACGATAATTTGGTGGAATAATGTCAACCATATTTTGATCTGTAAATAGATTTGGCCTAACGGTACACCGTGCTGATGGTGTAGAATTTTGTGGATGAATTGATTCATTCATATTTTCAAACGTAACGACATCTTCGGTACTAACACTTATCGATGTAGTATTATTGATTTGAACGCCGTGATTATTTATCCCAATAGTAGAGACATCATTCTTAGTCACTGAAGAATCCTTCATAGAATTCGTTCTTTCAGAGCGATCACATTCGCGAAGAATTGTATCAGATAACGAAACACAATGTCCATCTATAATAAAAACGGAGTTTTCACTGTGGAAATTGAAGTTCTATCAAAACATTCAATTAAGAAAAGACAACTAATATGTGAAAAATATTTGTTTGTCATTCCAATTTACCGCTGAAAAATTTACTGATTATGTAAAACTTATCAAGAGAGAACCATTTAAAATTATGACGTTTTACGCTAAATGCCTGATTGGACAGTAAAAAAGATATCTGGAAATGTTCTTGTTATTTAGATTCATTTAAAGAATATATATATTAAGGGAGTCGAAGAATAATAATTGATAGTCATTCATTCACATTCATTAACAAGTTAACAAAGGGCTGTATTCCTTTTCATCAAAACTATTTAATCAGAACTATGGATATTACCGACGTCTTCAGATATTTTTATTGAGTTATTATACTCTACGGTACCTGTTTCCTTATCAAGATCAATGTTATCATCAATATCAGCTTGATAGTATTTGACGATAAATCTTTATTTACCTTTTATAGGGAAACAATAGTGTATGAGAAAGATAAAATATATCTGATTTACATTGGTGGTTTTTCAATGAATGTAGTTGATATGTATTCCATCAACAATTGAAGTAAGAGAAATGGTAATCAAAGGTACTGTATACAATATAGAAAATCCGTATGAACCAAAACCTTGTAAGAACATTTAGATTTGATCAAGTTTAAAACCTGGTTTGTTTAAATCAGCCCTAAAGTCGTGTTATTTCACCAAGTAGATGGTTGAAATAATCTATTTTAAATTCTTATTGAGATTAAAAAGGTAATAACTTGAAACATAAACTCTGTATTTCTGTTCACTGATTTCGAAACGAGTAGCTCAAAATCGCTCTGTTAGGTAAAATAATCTATACCTATTCACATGTAACGATAGTGTTACCCGTTCTGTCAATAAAATCTCCCCCTGTTTCGTTCATCCTGCTTTTCCAATGATTTTTATTCACGCTGCTTTTCTATGTTCAAATCTTTAGCTAACCACAAGTTCTTTTTGTATGTATGGTTACTAGTATACGTAGTGAGCTAGACTTACAGCTAGCTGTTGCTGGTTATTAGATCAAGGAGAACTGCTTATCCAGTTTAGTTACAGTAAAAAAAGGTTTTATATAAATCTATCAAATTTCACTCCTTATGCTCAACGTGGGGTAACAGATGTATGTAAGTAAGTAAGTGTAAGATTTCAGATGATCTGCTAAGATCTATGATCCTTAGTACATTTATTGATAAATCACACCACAATAATATCAACTTTTGATAGATTCATACAAATACATGTAGAATCCAAAGTAATATGATTTGGTTTTGCACCACAATACCTTTTCTCATAATCTGATGTTCTTTTATCTACCAAGAACGATGAGGACTCGTCTTATCACAAATATTGTGAATTTGTAGGATTTGAGTTGAAAAACTGACGGAAATAACCCAATCGCTTGTAATGAACGTAATTTTTCATTGCATACAAAGCTAACAGTCGGATGACTAAGAAGTGCGAAGTCAATGTATCATACACGAATATCAAATGAGATCGAGTAAACTCGTAGATCGGTAGAAAACAATACATTATTCAGAAACAAATCAATTCCTTGCTACTTTTTTCGTCAATTAAGTAGTTAAGTACTTTTACTTCAAGCTACTAGGGAACTAAAAAATTTTGTTGGTCATATAAACTGTCTAAATAGATTACTTCTTACTTGTTGAAGAAAAAGGTATTTTTCCAAATGAATTAGGATTGGAGAACAATCTGTTCATAATAAAATCATGCTCTACAGTGTTATTACTATTTGAAAAGTTAGATTCATTACCGTTCGATGTCAAACTATTATCACTAATAAACACTGGATCAGATCGAAAATGGAAATGGGACAAATTTTTCCCCATCTTGTTTTCATTACTGATGTTTTTATCATTGTTAGCAATATGATTTAATTCATTGAAGCAATCAGACTTGCAATTATATTCCCGTTCATAAATTTGATTTGAATTCATTCCATCATCATTAGTTGGCAGAAGTCCTTCACCCATACTATTCATTGAAGGTATATTCTCTTTAGAATTATCATAGAACTCTTCTATTCCCATAGAATCAGCTAAACAGCAAGTTAAATTGTTAAAACCTATTTGATCATGTTGTCCTTCAAGTGTACCACGACATTCAATCTTCTTTTTACGTGCTCTAGCATTTTGAAACCATACCTGAAATCAATAAATAAATGCTAAAGTCTTAATTGATAAACAACACCAAGATGACATTTCAAAACGTTTTATACGTACAATTATTTATGACAAAGACACCAGTGTTTGTTGACTCATAATATTAAGTCACTGTACCAAAGAAAATCATATCACCTAGAATCAATTTGAAATTATAACCATAAAAAATATATATGGTACATTAAAGTTATCAGATATGATACTAAGAATGAAATCAACCAGAAAGAAGAAGTAGTCATGAGTAATTAGGCTACTTAGACTTACCCAAACCTATCAAAATGTTCTTTTCCATAAAAGTTAG